GATCCTATTTCAAATAAATAAATAAATAACTTAGCCTGCCTACTCTGAAGTCACACTCTGTTGTTATTTTTCAGTACTGTCCTATTTTTCCCTGTTTGTTATGTAAATTTCAGAACTGTCTTTTCTCAACTTCCAAAATAAGCCTACTGATGAGAGTATACATGAGTACAACCACATTGGAAAACAAATGGCATTATCTAAAAAGGTTGAAGACGTACATATTCTATGATCTAGCAATTCCAGTCCTGGGCATGTGTACAAAAGAAATGTGTACACATAGGTAAACATGTACAAAAATGTTCTCAGTAATACTCTTCATAAAAATTAAAAACTGGAAACAATCCAAATGACTGCCAACATTTGGTAGTTGGTCAGGCACAGTGGCTCACATCTGTAATCCCAGCACTTTGGGAGGCCAAGTTGGGCAGATCACCTGAGGTCAGCAGTTCGAGACCAGCCTGGCCAACACGGAGAAACCCTGTCTCTACTAAAAATACAAAATTAGCCAGGCGTGGTGGCGCATGCCTGTAATTCCAGCTACTCAGGAGGATGAGGCAGAAGAATCGCTTGAAACCAGGAGGCAGAGGTTGCAGCAAGCTGAGATCGTACCATTACACTCCAGTCTGCTCAACAAGAGCAAAACTCTGCCTCAAAAATGAAAAAAAAAAAAGAAAAGAGAAGAAAAAAAGAAATACCATACAATAATGAAAATGAACTAGACCTACACACAACAACGTTGATGCTCTCATAAACATATTGCTGAGCTAAGAAACACACACAAAATTTACATAGAATGATTCCATTTACAATGAAGTCTCAAAAACAGGTAATCTTTAAATTAGATTAAGAATAAATATATAGGTAGTAAAACATCAGATAAAACAAGGAAATGGGCCAGGCGCGATGGCTCATGCCTGTAATCCCAGCACTTTGGGGGGCCAAGGCGGGTGGATCACAAGGTCAAGAGTTCGAGACCAGCCTGACCAACATGGTGAAACCCCACCTCTACTAAAAATACAAAAATTAGCCGGGCATGGTGACATGCACCTGTAATCCCACCTACTTGGGAGGCTGAGGCAGGAGAATCACTCGAACCCAGGAGGTGGAGGTTGCAGTGAGCCGAGATTGTGCCACTGCATTCCAGCCTGGGTGACACCGTGAGACTCTGTCTCAAAAAAAAAAAAAGGAAATGATTACCACAAACATTAGGAAGTCCCTGGGAGAAAAGAGATCTGATTGAGAAAAAAGGGAGGATAATTTTCTTTCTTTTTTTTGTTTTGTTTTGAGACAGTGTCTTGCTCTGTCGCCCAGGCTAGAGTGCAGTGGTACAGTCCTGGCTCACTGCAACCTCCACTTCCCGGGTTCAAGTGATTCTCATACCTCAGCCTCCTGAGTAGCTGGGATTATGGGCATGTGCCACCACACCCGGCTAATTTTTTGTATTTTTAGTAGAGATAGGGTTTTGCCGTGTTGGCCAGACTGGTCTTGAACTCCTTACACCTCAGGTGATCTACCCGCCTCGGCCTCCCAAAGTGCTGGGATTACAGGCGTGAGCCACTGCGCCCAGCCAGTTCTGTTTCTATAGCTGGCAACAAACAGAAAATGCAATTTAAAAAGCATTTTATAATAGCAACAAAGTATATGCAGTAAATATGAATAAATCTTACAAAAATGGTATAAGACATTTGTGTAAAACCTCCACAGAGATCCAGTACAACAAGTAATCAAAGTCAACACCCTTGCAATAACTCTTCAAGTCAAAATAGAAAATTGCCAGTACCGGCAGGGCATGGTGGCTCACACCTGTAATCACAGCACTTTGGGAGGCTGAGGCGGGTAGATCACCTGAGGTGTAAGGAGTTCAAGACCAGTCTGGCCAACGTGGCGAAAGACCAGTCTGGCCAACATGGCGAAACCCCAGCTCTACTAAAAACACAAAAAATTAGCCAGGCGTGGTGGTGGGTGCCTGTAATCCCAGCTATTCGGGAGGCTGAGGCAGGAGAATCGCTTGAACCTGGGAGGCAGAGGTTGCAGTGAGCTGAGATCGCACCATTGCACTCCAGTCTGTGCAACAAGAGCGAAAGCCCGTCTCAAAAAAAAAAAGAAACAGAACTGAATGTTATGCCTTGATACAACAACCCACTATACTCTCTTATTGTTGCTTCTGACTTATGAGTAGATTGAGTTTTCTTGTAACCGTCATATCATCTGCAAATAACAGCAACTTTGTTTCATCCTTTATAATCTTTATATCTTTCCTTTGGGTTTGTCTTATTTACAATGATTAGAATCTAGTTCAATGATGAACAGTACTATTTTCATGTTCTATAAAAGTATTTTAATTTTTTTTATTTTTTTAGAGACAGGATCTTGCTCTATCACCCTGGCTGGAGTGTAGCGGCACAATCATAGCTCACTTCAGTGTTGAACTCCTGGGCTCAAGTGATCCTCCCACCTCAGCCTTCAGAGTAGCTGAGTCTACAGGTATGTGCCACTATGCCCCGCTAATTTTTGTTTTCTTTGTAGAGATGGGGTCTTCCTATGTTGCCCAGGCTGGTCTCACATTGCTGGCTTCAAGTGATCCTCCCATCTTAGCCTCCCAAAGCACTGGGAATACAGGCATAGCCACTGCTCACAGCCCTATAAAAGTAGTTTTAAAGTGGGGAACAAAAGAGACATCGTACAGGAGGACCCAGGTGCTGATGGCTCATTTCAAGTGTACTCTTTCATATGTTTATCACCATTTCCCTTCTCTCAGAAAATGAAGCCCTCCATCCTGGATGAGGGAATAGCTCTTGAAAACTGGCTATTCTAACAATTTAAACTTCTTAACGACTAAAATCAAGTTCAGCTCATCCACACTTCCAAATTAATTTATCTGGATTACAAGTCTATAATTTTCAAATCAAGTATACAATAATTAAAAGAATAGAAACAATGCCATCTAAAACGTGAAGTGTGTTCAAACTAGAGACTAATTATTTAACATCTATATAGCACTGAGGAACTGAAAAGCACTTAGGGGGAAAAAATCAAACTTTTAATACACTCCCAACACAACAGATGAGGCAGTGAAGGAAAATAAATCTCTTGGTTAGATCAGGCAGTGATGTAATGAGGAAAGTACCAGAATTCTAACACATCCCCAGAGTTATGAAGACCCAAAATATAGCCTTTGATAAATATATCCCCAAGACCATTTATCTATCCACCACAAGCAACTGTCTCTCTGAAAGAGTCCCAAAATATTTCCTCAGCCCAACAAATTGACAATTTCCCTTCTGTACTTGTGTATCTCAGAGGGTAGTCTAGTGGTTGGCTTTCTTCATCTTTCCAGCTTATATAATGATACTGATTTATACTAAGTAACAGTTTGTCCCTCAGGAAAATGAAATATAACAAGAGTGTGGCAGCCAGTTCTCCAGAGTCCTACCCAGATCAATGAAGAGTACAGCACAATCCTGACTAGTCAAAGGCCTCTCAGAGGTCATATAAGTGCTCTCATCCCTTCTTGGTACAGACAAGAGTTTCCAGAGTCAGACAGTTCTTCTACTAGGGACTTCTCCAGGATTCACATTTCCCTAGTAAGTATCCCAAACATGTTTTGCTTTTTTGTTTTTCTCTCCCTTTCTGAATGACATTTTTTGTTGTTGTTTGTTTTTTTCTCCCTAGCATGGCTCTAATGCCATGAATCAGACTTCTTTTGGACTTACTGACCACGGGACTACTGTATTTCTTCTTTATCTAAGTTAGATACTTAATGTATCTTTCAGAAAATCAGATAAAATGCCCTTTGGATGGACCCCTGTCTAAATGGGCACAGTAAGAAATGTTATATTCAACTTGTAAGAGATTTGGTTGTATTAAAATTCATATTTGAACTCCCCAATAAACCAATAATTTATATTCTATATATTGTTACAAGTTATAATGGTTCCAGCTGGGCATGATGGCTCACGCCTGAAATCCCAGCACTTTGGGAGGCCGAGGCGGGCATCACCTGAAGTCAGGAGTTGGGAGGCCAGCCTGGCCAATACAGTGAAACTCCGTCTCTACTAAAATTAAAATTAGCCAGGTGTGGTGGTCGGCGCCTTGGGAGGCTATTTGGGAGGCTCCCTATTTGGGAGTCAGGAGTTCAAGACCAGCCTGGCCAACATGGTGAAATCCCATCTCCACTAAAAATATATTTCAAAAACTAGTCACCACCTACTGGGGAGGCGGAGGCAGGAGAATCATTTGAATCTGGGATGGGGAGGTTGCAGTGAGCCGAAACTGCACCATTGCTCACCAGCCTGGGTGACAAGAGCAAAACTCCGTCTCAAAAAGAAAACAAAACAAAAAAACAAGTTATAGTGGTTCCAAACAAAGGGTAGAAAACAAGATGTTTATGACCCAAGTGGCAAAAAGTTCAGAAGAATCACTTATCTCTTTCTAAAAATATCTGCCCGGCCGGGCGCGGTGGCTCACACCTGTAATCCCAGCACTTTGAGAGGCCGAGGCAGGCGGATCACCTGAAGTCAGGAGTTCGAGACCAGCCTGGCCAACATGGCGAAACCCCGTCTCTACAAAAATACAAAAATTAAAGGAGCATGGTGGTGCGCGCCTATAATCCCAGTTACTCAGGAGGCTGAGACAGAAGAATTGCTTGAACCCAGGAGGCGGAGGTTGCAGTGAGCTGAGATTGTACCAGTGCACTCCAGCCTGGGTGACAGAATGAGACTCCGTCTCAGAAAAAAAAAAAAAGGAGAAGCATTCTTGCATAGTATTCTGTCACATCAAATAGAGCTGCATAAGCAAAACAGGTTCAGTAAAAGAGACTACCCAAGTCAAGTACTAATTCTTTGAAGCAAGCAAACCAATCATATCCATTTTTGCACTAAACCACAGGTAGATAATTCAGTAACAAATTCTTTAGCATCATCCTGATTAACCAAACCACCTTGATATTGACCATGTGGCCACCCAATGGTAGTGAGAAGAAACTAATTGGAAGTACTTACCTTGAGAGCACAAAAGATGCAGGAATCTCCCATGCACTTGTGAGTTGTAAGCTGCCTAAAGCTACGTCGGAAGATATCCAAGTGCCACAAAACCTGGTGAGAAAGGGAAAATATTTCATTACTCTATAAAAAGCCACCATTTAATTTTAAAGTAAAAAGAGTTCAAGCAAACATAGGTAATGACTGCAGAAGATATCTTTATTCCCAGAGAAAACTTCATTCTAGTATATTAAAACAAATGTGAAAAATGGTGAGATATCTAACAGGAAAAATGAATGGTCATATTCTGGGAAAGATATTAATTTGAACATAAAGTGAAGGTAATACAGTTAAAATATGACATGACATACATCAAATGTGATCCTGAAGAGGAAATTTATGGGTTAAAGCTGAAGAATAAGGATTTACATTAATGATCCACACAAGAAAAGCAAGAATATTTTATAACTTATATTAGAAATGTGAACCCATAGAAATGTGAACTGTAGTATGGAATTTTTTCTTTGTTAGAACTCTCAATTTTTAGACATTTCTAAGAGAAGTGTGATCTCCTTAAGTCAATAGGGTAAAAAATTATGATTTCTATACTTTTGTTGAAATGGAAAAAAAATATGATATTAACAGTGATAAATCATGTTATAGTATATACCCTTGATGTGATGTGTTGAAAACGGCACTATACTTTTGTGGTCTTCCTCCCCAAAACCTATTACCCTAGTCTAATCATGAGAAAAGCATTAGACAAATTCCAATAGGGGAAGGGGGATATCCAAAAAAATACTTGATCAGTACTCCTCAAAACTGTCAAAGATTATCAAAAACATAAACATTCTGAGAAAATGTCACAGCTAAGAGAAGCCTAAGAAGACATGACAAGTAAATCTAAATGTGGTATCCTGGATGAAATCTTGGGCCAGGAAAGGACAGCAGGTTAAAAACTAAGGAAATCTGAATAAATTGCAATTTTTAGTTAAAAAAGAAATGATGTAATATATAGCATAATGCCTTAGGAAGCTCCCCCCTTGCTAGGAAAGCATTTAATGTCATAATATGTGAAAAAGCATAATTTCTGGAGCCCCAGATGACGCACACCTCTGGAGCTTCTTCTTACTTATATGTCTCAAGATCCATACTCTAAAAGTTCTTTGAAACTGGCTATGCTCCCAAGTAAATAACATCTTTTTATAACAAATGTAATAAGTTCAACTCATCTGTGGCAAATACAGCTTTGAAACCAAAAGTCAGAATATTAGCTCATAGCAACAACTATTTTCAACATGTAACATGATTATAATAGGGATTCCAAAACCACCAATGCCTCAATCATTAAGTATGGATACAGAAATATGTGTATGTGTGTGTGTGTATACATATATATAATGTATTGTATATGGCACTGGAAATTAGAATGGAAACTCATAAACAGCATTGTTTCAACTGACAATATAAATAGACCACATAGAAAAAAACAGTTATAAAAATGGGACTATGGCCAAGAAGGGGGTAAACATACACATTTATATCAATGCCTTATTTTGCCTGCTTCTAAATCACAAAAGTATTACCAGGATAAAAAGTAACTAAAAAAACTAATATGTGGCCAGGTGTGGTGGCTCATGCCTATAATCTCAGCACTTTGGGAGGCCAACGCAGGAGGATCGCTTGAGCCCAGAAGTTCAAGACCAGCCTAGGCAATTACAGTGAGATCCCCTCTCTACAAACAATTAAAAAAAAAAAATTAGTCAGGTATGGTGGCACGTGTCTGTAGTCCTAGCTACTAGGGAGGCTGAGGTGGGAGGATCGCTTGAGCCCAGGATGTTAAGGCTGCAGTGAGCTATGAGTACACCACTGCACTCCAGCCTTGGCGACAGAGTGAGACCCCTGGCTCCAAAAAAAGAAATAAAGAAAGAAAACTAATATGCATCATCCAGGACAAAAACCTAGCCAACTCCACCTAAACACATGAAATTTGTGGTAATAATTAGGGAAAACACTTAAAATTTTTTTTATAGGGTTGCCAGCACATAATTTTTTTAAAAAATTGTTTTCAAATAAAAACTTAAAAACTGAGAAAGAGACTGGGCGCCGTGGCACACACCTGTAAGCCCAGCACTTTGGGAGGCCGAGGTGGGCAGATTACCTGAGGTCAGGAGTTTAAGACCAGCCCAGCCAAAATGGCGAAACCCCGTCTCTACCAAATGTACAAAAATTAGCCCGGTGTGGTGGCAGATGGTCTGTAATCCCAGCTATTCAGGAAGCTAAGGCAGGAGAATCGCTTGAACCCAAGAGGCGGAGATGGCAATGAGCTGAGATCCCACCACTTCACTCTAGCCTGGGCAACAGAGCGAGACTCCGTCTCAAATAAATAAAAACTGAGAAAGAGCATGAAACTTTTATTACTTAGATAAGCTTGGCAACATTCTTGTATTATGAATGAGGAAACTCAGACACTATTACCTGTACAAGGTCACAAGACTAGTCTACAGAATGGCTAAAACTAGAACCCAGGTCTCCTCCTAATGCCCAAGACCATTGTTCTTTATACTAAACATCTTGTCTTCTCTCATAGCAACCTATTTTCTCATAACATCTGAGGAGTCAAGCTAATATTTTACCCAAGTATAATTATCTTGGGTGGAAAATTTCATTTACTTTTACACTGAAGAGCAGAAAAGAAGAGAAAGTAATTACTTGAAAGTTAGGCCAAGGGGGATGAACTTAACACGCTATGGGCGTGACTGGGCAGAGCAGACAGACAGAAAGCTTTGGGATTCTAAGACCACTTAAGTAGCAAGCAACAGTGAAAGGGAAAATGTAGGGTAGATAATCACCTTAAGGGAATTTACTTTCCCCTAGCTCTATTCAAGTGTATCTGACTAGACACCAGTTATGAGCCAAAACAGGAGAGCTCAAAGGGAGGAGATAAATTGGACAAAGACTAGACTCCATTCAATATGTGGGCCAAAAGCCTGAATATTAAGAGACAAGATTAACATACCTGAAAGTCTTTGACTTGTGGAAAGAATTTTGCTTCTATGCTAGAGAAAAGCAACTAGGATAACACACCTGGCTCCCAAAAGGAAAAACAGAAAACAGGCCAGGCGCAGTGGCTCACGCCTATAATCCCAGCACTTTGGGAGGCTGAGGCAGGTGGATCACTTGAGGCTAGGAGTTCAAAACCAGCCTGGCCAACATGGTAAAACCCTGTCTCTACTAAAAATACAAAAATTAGCTGGGTGTGGTGATGCACAGCTGTAATTCCACCTACTTGGGTGGCTGAGCCATCAGAATTGCTTGAACCGCCGAGATCACCCATGGTCCCAGCTACTCAGGAGGCTAAGGCAGGAGGATCACCTGAGCCCCGGAGGTCAAGGCTGCAGTGAGCTGTGATTGGGCCACTATACTCCAGCCTTGGCAATAGAATGAAACTCTGTCTCAACAAAAAAAAAAAAGAAAAGAAAAATAAGAACCCGTAGAGATTGCTCAGGAAAAAAAGTTGATAAATAGAAAGATGAGCCAGGCGCGGTGGCTCACGCCTGTAATCCCAGCACTTTGGGAGGCCGAGACGGGTGGATCACAACGTCAGGGGTTCGAGACCAGCCTGACAAATATGGTGAAATCCTGTCTCTACTAAAAATACACAAATTAGCCAGGCATGGTGGCAGGCACCCATAGCCCCAGCTACTGAGGAGGCTGAGGCAAGAGAATCGCTTGAACCCGGGAGACGGAGGTTGCAGTGAGCCAAGATCGCGCCACTGTACTCCAGCCTAGGCAACACAGCAGGACTCCATCTGAAAGATCACCTGGCCCATTTACCTCCCTTTAGGCATGTGAATAATAGTAGTTACAGTTATTATTTTTTCTCTTACCATTATTAATCCCTCTTTTTGTAAATGAGGTAATTGAGATTCAAAGAGATAAAGTGACTTGCCAAAGATCACACAGATAAATGTAAAAATGACCTCAGGTTACTAACCTCAAACAGAGACTATCAAGAATTTTATTTAAAAAGAGTTACCAGAAATACAGCATCAGCAATTAAAAGTCAAAGTTCACCAAAAATAATTACCCTTACCTGCAGGGCACTGTTGAGGAAGCAGCTGTTTTGCCCTGGCTCATTGCTGAGGCCTTTGCTAGGGGCTATGGAGGTTGAGCTTCGAGGTGCAAACATCCCTTGTACACTACCACAACCCCCTGAAAAATAATTTCTCTTCCAAGACATTATTGTTCACATTTAGCCTGAAAAAAAACGGAGAAGGTTTTGTGCCTTTTTGGCAGGAATTTATGTCTGCTAAAGTTCTAAAAGGAAAGGGAATCCAGAATTTAGTGAATTTATGTTGGAAGATTTTGAGTTTACCACCTTCCAAATATCATCTGCATAGTTCAAGGGACTCAGGTATCCTCCTAGATCTAGATGACAGAGTCCTTCCTCACTTGTTCCAAACAATCTCCAAAATGTAACATGGCACAGGACTAATGCAAACAGAGAAATCCTTAAGTATTGCTTCCTTCTATTTTTCTTGAACAGCCTCAATAACGTCCTGGTGAAGTGGGTGTAATTCTCAACTCCAGCAGCATCCAGGATCAGGGTAAGATGTGTTCTTCAAGCTTGTTGATAATGCTTCTTATGGACTGAAGATTTTTCCAACTGGAAGGAGAGGTAGACAGATAAGCAAGAATCCAACATAACCCTCCTCGCCCTTTATTGCCTTGTCTCATCATCCTCTGAAGCAAAAACTCAAATTCTGAGCAACTGCAAAAGGTTCCACAAAGCCAAGAAGAAGCCTGTTTGAATCATCTGAGGTTTTTGTTGATGTTCTTGCTCCTTCTTTTTAATGTGCCCCAAACTTCTATTGTCTCATCCAGATCTTCAGCAAGTCTCTCCTCTTTCTTCTGGGACTAGAATAGCCAGCTGTGTCAGAGAGCTTTAACAGAAATAAAAAAAATCAAAAGCTTGCGTCACTTAATGACTCTACTGGCTTTGGACTGTTCTGCCAAGATCAACGTTGCCTCACCTCTTGCTATAAACTGGAAACCTTGGCAAACAATGCCAAAAAAAAAAAGGAAAAAAAAAAAAAAGAGAGAGAGAGACCCAAACTAAAGAGATGGAAAAAAGGTATGAACAGCTTTACTTTCAGGGGAAAATTATCTGCAATTTTCTTGAAACACAAGAAAGTTGATCTGGATAGAAATAAAACCCAAATACAAACTTTCCAGTATCAGGCTAACACAAAACAAATCACCAAGTAAGCACACACCAACTAGGAACTGAAACAGTTTCTTTTGGACATTGTGAATAAAGCAATTTCTAAAAGGTGTTTTCCAAGAATATGCTTATGAAAACCTGCTTAAAAGTGAGAGCAGTCTATGTGAGCAGTCTAAGATCTGTTCTGAGTAAAGATGTTCCACCCAGAGAAACACTGATGGTAAGTAAACCACAAGTCCTTAACATGCAGTTCAAGAGAACTAAATCTCCTCCTGCCCTGTTTGTTTGTTTGTTTCATTTTTGCCAGAGGATCAGAGAGATAATTTGGGTTACAAATCACTTAATCTCCAGATTATATCCAAGGGCTCACAATCAGAGGCAATCCATTGACCAACTTTAGTTTTCAACTAATTAAAATGCCAGTGAGGCAACAGAGAGTAATACCAAAGCAAGTATGTTCCCTGGAAGCAAATCACCACATCTCCAACTTTAAGTTTTCCTGTAAGGCTGCCATGTCCATCTACATAAGGAAAAATGTTTAAATGTTAAGTGTTAAATTTGCCAAGATCAACAATTCCTCAATCTTCTCCCTTCCTTCTCACCATCATATGCACCATCTAAAAACGCAAAAATGCTTTAACATCTTAATCACTCTCTGGGAGATCACCTAGCATTGTCTACAGCATGTCCAGTGGAAAAACTGAGGTACAGGAATATTAAATGGTTGCATAAGACTGTTCTTTCCCTTCTGTAAATTCCTAGACTATTTATAATCTACATGTCACAATTAAAGTATTTGATTATACAGTGTACTGTCACATTATTCTCTATTTTTATTACCCTCTGTTTTATATCGTATCTGTCATAATATGACTACATGAAATGAAATAGTAACTACAGTCAGGTATGTGCTAAACACGATACTTACGTCCTTTATTCAATATTCACAACAGTCCTATCAGATAGTTATTAATAGTTCCATTTTACAGAAAAGTAAAGGGAGGCTTAAAGACATTAACGTGCCCAATTCAACGCTGGTAAGTGGCAGAGCTAGAAATGTTTGACTATTAAACTATGACTCAATTATATATTTTATTATTCTATTCCAAAAGCTCCTATTACAGTGCTAGTCATAAGGAGGCAGTCAATAAATACTGCCTGATGATTAACATGACACCAGAAAAGAACCCATATCTCCCACACAGACTATAAGACCCTCACCTCTCTACACACACCCTCATACACACCCCACTCAAGGCCACCAAACAACTTCCAACAAGCCATGCAGCATTCCTTCAGCTCAACTGCTGCAAAGGAATGACAAGTACCAAGCCTCCACTTTGCTCACAGCCAAAAGGACTTGGCACACAGGTGGGGTTTCCAATATCCACATTAGGAGCTTAATGAAACTCGGCCTGCCCTATGACACACACTCCTGAGTACAGGGAGCAAAAGGAGAAAAACACAGTAGCAGAGAAAAGATTCTCAGGCTCTGAATGGCAGTATTATGTAGGCTAAAGCAGTAAGTCCTCAGACCTGTTTTAGGTGTGTCACCAGCTAGAAGTGACAGCATAAAGACCAGACAAGAGAGGCAGTAACAAGTGGTCCAGAGAAATACTAACACCAAAAACATTTCACTTAAATTGTAGATATAGCATTAAACAACGTAATCCTTCTCCAATGCCATTTACTGAAGATATGTGAGGAGGGGAATTATAGTTTTATCTGTATGGCTCTCACTACCTAGTTTATTTGTTTGTTTGTTTTGTTTTGTTTTGTTTTTTGAGGCGGAATCTCACTCTGTCGCCCAGGCTGCAGTGCAGTCGCGCAATCTTGGCTCACTGCAGCCTCCGCCTCTTAGGTTCAAGCAATTCTCCCGCCTCAGCCTCCCAAGTAGCTGGGATTACAGGCATGCACCACCATGCTCAGCTATTTTTTATATTTTTGTATTTAGTAGAGACAGGGTTTCACCATGTTGACCAGGATGGTCTCCAACTCCTGACCTCAGGTGACCCTCCCGCCTCGGCCTCCCAAAGTTCTGGGATTACAAGCGTGAGCCACCATGCCTGGCACCTATTATATTTAGTACAGTAACATCCTATACAGGTTTGTAGCATAGGAGCAGTAGGTTATATCATATAGTCTAGGTGTGTAGTAGGCTACATCATCTAGGTTTATGCAAATTCACTTAAATGATATTCACGCAGTGACAAAACCACCTCACAACACATTTCTCAGAACATATTCCTGTTGTCAAGCAAAACATGGCTGCACTTTTGCCATACTTTTACCTAACAATCCTACTCCTAGATATTTTACCATAAAGAAATAAAAAATTGGGCTGGGCATGGTGGCTCATGCCTAAAATCCGAGAATGGGAGGCCGAGGCTGGTGGATCACTTGAGGTCTGGAGTTCGAGGCAAGCCTGGGCAACAACGTAAACTTCTAGGAAAGTAAAAGCCAAAATTGGGACGGAAGCATGTCATCTTATTACTTATTACTTATTTCCTTGTGTAACACAGTTACTAAGTTGTATGTCCCACTGTTCCCAATCTGAAAACACTAGCCTCCTGTGGGTAAGCCAAAAACTTTTCCACGTATGATATGATGGAAAACAGTGGGTCTCAACCTTTTTGCAGTGCCTCACATCCAAAGGCAGATTTACCAACCCACTAATGAAACTTAAGCTTCAGGGCTCTTTCTCTTGCACAGATTCTCAAGGCCCAATATCTCATTTTCTGTTTCAAAAAATATTTTCCTTAAAGGAGGCCCTCTGAATTGTATAAGCTTCAAGTGTCACAGAATCTGAGTCTGCCCCATCCACATTACATAAACTGGGCTTTTATAGTATATGTCACTTGAGAAAATACATAATTCAAAAAGCTACTTTGAATTCAGTAATACTAATAACTTTGCATTTTATAAAAGAAACATCTAATGTTATTCTCTGTATAAAATTTGTTTTACCTAAATAGATCTAAATATAATATTTAGTCCACATTTGGATTTTGGAATCTTGTGTTCACAGCAAGTAACTCCACAGTCCACAGGGCTAAATTGAAAAGATCATTACAGATTAAGGCTGCCAGAATTAAAGGCATACCTCTAGAAGCTGGTGACCTTTAGAAAAAAACACTTTCTCTGTATTAGTGAAATACAGAGAATGATTCCTTCACAAGTATACACAGTACAGCTTAATGTGCTACCATTTTTCTCAGGCCAAAGTAATAAACCAGGCTCCAGCTGCAGCCACCCTAATCATCCCCCACTGTATTCTTCACCAACAAAGTCAGCTTCTCTCAGCCTCTGTTTCTGAAAAAACCCAAAGCAGTCATTCAAATGGAACTGGCTTGTGCATAAAGGGAGATGAGGCCTGGAAGGACATTGGGCCAGGAGGAGCCTGGCGCCCTAAGAGACAGTGGGGTAAATGAGGTCCAGAGAGCTACAGGTTATTAGCATAAGAGATTCATTATGAGCAGAGCTGGAATTGAACTGAAACCAATGAAGACTAGATAGAATTTGTTCCTGCAAAGCCTGGGAACCCTTTGATAAAACCAGGTTTAAAGTGTGGGAAGTTTTGAAGGAGATGAATTTTTTTTTTTTTTTTTTTTTTTTTTTTTTGTGACAGAGTTTCGCTCTGTCGCCCAGGCTGGAGTGCAGTGGCACGATCTCGGCTCACTGCAAGAGCCACCTCCACCTCCCAGGTTCAAGCAATTCTCCCACCTCAGCCCCCGAGTAGCTGGGATTACAAGTGTGCGCCACCATGCCCAGCTATTTTTTGTACTTTTAGTAGAGACGGGGTTTCGCCACGTTGGCCAGGCTGGCCTTGAACTCCTGGCCTCAAGTGATCCACCCACCTCGGCCTCCCAAAGTGCTAAGATTACAGGCATGAGCCACCACGCCCAGTCAAGGAGATGGACCTTTTAAGCTAATTAATTTCACAGTAACTAAAGTTCAATAAAGTCTTTAAGGAGACACTACTAATTCCATGTGTAGAGAACTCCAAGACATTAATAAAAACGATAGTATCAAC